TAGGAGTTGTTTGGAGATGATCTCAATAGGTGCACTTATTTGATAATTACATTTATTTGGATCATATCACCTCTCTACTTTTCTGCATATCTTTTCATAAAAAGTCAAAAAATGTATTAAATAAGCAAACAATCAATTACAAGACTAATGCTTTGTGCTCGTATCAAATAAATTGTTATTGGACCTAACTTGGTATGTCAAGGTGATCCATATTAGACATTGCATTCAATCTAGTTCACTTTCTTTACTTGGATAATAAGAGGACCAATTGTACCTAAGTGCGACGGTTCAAATAAGCAGTAAAACTTTCACTTATACATGTTGCAAAATAAGAAAGATCACCATAAGAAGACTATTTAAGAATATGAGTGGAATCTTACCACAAAAATAATATCTAAAGATCATGTTAACATGATTTTCCATTCATGAGTTTGATGGAGAAGATAGTTGTTCTGTACATTGTGTAAACACCAGCAGCTCTTAATAGTGGCTAAGTAATGCAGGATGGTTTGAGATGTTCTAAATAAGTACACTTTTTGACTTTTTATAAAAAAAAATGTATACAATCTGCAATGTATTGTTACATAAGTGAGTATTAATTATGTGGAAAAAAACAAATCCACACTCTGGTCCATTTCCCTATCCACATTAAAACATGTCCACCACACCCTGCAAATCTCCTTCCACAATAATAAAATGAAACCTCAACTCCACGGCTATCCTTATCGCCTCCCTACCAGCCAGCACTTCTATTAAATAAAACTTAAAACAAATGAAGTATGATGTGCATTAATTAATTTAACATGTTCATGATTTAAATGAAAAAAATACTGCCACAAAAGGTTCTCCAAAGATAGAAATATACATGCTAGATGAAAATGTATGTTAATTTTATTTAATTTAAATTTATTTATTTCTGTATCCATCTCTTCTTCTTTTTTTTCTTTTTTTGAATATTTCTTAAATATGAGCATGAACAAAAATGATTCTCTAAAAAATGAAAATGCACATGAATAAATTAATGGTCATGGAGGTAATTTTTTCCTCACCTAAATGCACCACATCAAATGTGAAAAAGTTAACTACATGCATAATCATTTAAATCAGTGAATGACATAAAATACACAGTGATCTTTAAATTATTTTAAAACCCAAATGATGAAGAAGATGTAATTAAAAACCCTATACAAATTCCTGAAGAAATCGTAAATTCAGACTCACTTTGTGAAACTCTCATCGTCTCATCAGCCGTGAAGTTTTTTAGCTATATAAAAACCAAAAGCATAACCCAATTTAGCATTATTATTTGAGCAACATCGAACTATTTATTGAGGCAAATATATTAAAAGAAAGAAGATAAATGAAAGGAACATGAAAACTCGCAACAATAAAACTAAAAGTCCAAGAAAAGCAACAGCCCTCATTCTAATTGTAACAAAAGAAATATGGAACCAAAGTTATAATCACTTAAAATTTAGTGACAGGTGAAATATGAGTGGTAGCCAATAAGTTGGTTAATACATCAAACTACCCTTGACTCCCAAAGCTTAATAATCATCAACAAATCAGTCCAACAGCAATCCAACTCTATATATGTATGTGTGTGTAATAAGACTTAAATTGACTCTAAACAAGTTAACCAAACATCTAAATTGTTCTCCATGAAAACTTTCATATTTGTCCTTCTTTTTCTTTTCAAGCTCTGCAGAAAGAGATTACAAAATATAAGGGGTCGACAATCTTTTCTTGGCAATAAACCAATCATATGCAATCATAAAATTGGCATCTCATAAGCAAAAATTTATATTAACAAAATAACTTCTCTCATTGGCATATTGTCAAGCACATTGTGTGCAAGTTATATGCTAACAAACATCAAAAGAATACACAAGCATATAAAATCAATACAGCATCTGCAAAAAAGAACACAAAGTTTATGACAATGGCATACCTGATTATCCGGTTTGAGAGTTGATCTCTAGACACAGTCAATTTCCAACTCGTAAGTGTATATATGATTGAATACAATCAGTTCACCGCCACAGAAGTACGCTGGACAATCAGTTCACCGCTACAGGAACACTCTGGATAGCATACATGGAAATCTCGCATTGAATTCTATTAACCTATTTTGGTTTAATGTTCAGATTTCTTTTTTCCCCAAAAAAATAGAGGCATCGTTTGCTTCAAGAACTTGTTTTTATCTCTCTATTTCACGCACTTCTCACCAATTACATGATTTGAAAAACAAAAGTAGTATAAAATACATAATCGGCATGTTATCATTGTATTCAGATTTACAAGATGCAAATGGTGAATCACAGCAACAAAATTGGTCATAAACATCCCACAATCTTTTCATTCATAACGCTATGTTTGGTAACTTAGGAGAGAAAAGAAAAGAAATGATTACTTAAGTAATAAGAGAAAAGAAAAGAAAAGAAATGATTGTAATTTCTCTCCTTTTTGTTTGGGTAAGTAAGAAATAAAAGAAAAGAAATGATTGTGATTTCTCTCCTTCTTGTTTGGTTAGATTTCATTAAGAGAAAAGAAAAGAAATTATTTTATGTTATATTACCAAAATAACATTTTTATATTTTCAATCATTTTATTTCTTTTATTTTTACAGGGGTAAAATTGGTATTATGAAAATATAAACATTTGTGGATTTCTTTTCTCTCCCAATCTCTCCACTTTTGGGAAGATTGAAAATAAGGGTTATGAGAGAAATGAGTTTCTCTCCATTTCTCTCTATTTCTCACCATTTCTCTCCACTTAAGATAACCAAACAAGGAAGAGAAATACATTTCTCTCTATTTCTTTTCTTTTCTCTCCAAATCACTCAATCCAAACACAGTGTAAGAAAATATTTTCATAACCAATTAAGTCGAATGATGGGCATAAACTCTTAATTTATTATGAATCAAACAAATAACACTTAACCTCCTATCATGTCAATTTAAATAAATTTTAAAATTCTCAAGCATTATTTCTGCAGAAGTACAAGTACGATAGATCAAAATAGTCATTCGTAGGTGTGGTTTGACTAGAGATTTTTTTAGTTGATTTTTTTGAGTTGAGGTTTTTTTAACTAGGATAAAAAAGTTCATTTAAATTGGTTTTTTTAATTTTTTTTTACTTTTGTAAGAGAAAAAGTAAAATAATTATGGTTTGGCTGTGATATTTTGTCTTATTGACTAATTTAATCTATTTTGTCTTTTGTACTTTTTTAGCTTCAACCATAATTGCCAAATGAAGCCTTAAATTTTTAGAGCGGAGTGACCCTTCCTACCAATCTTGTTTCTCCTTTCTATCAATCTTCCTATCTTCGTTTGAGAATAACTTTTATAACTTGATTTTTTTTTTTGGACTGTTTTAACCTAAATAAAAAAGTTCCATTTTGAATGAATTTTTTTTTTTTTTTTTATAATTTTGTGAGAGAAAAAGGTGAAATGATTATGTTTAGATGTGACATTTTATCTTATTAATTTTTTGGAAAATGATTTGTCCCCCTAATTTTCCCCCCCGAATCCCCCGAAAAACAAATGGAGAAGAGAAAGAGGGAGAAAGAAGAGGGGAGAAAGAGAGAGGAGAGGAGAGAGGGAAACAGAGAGACAGAGAGGCCCTTCCATTCCGCTCCCTCCATTCCGCCGATCGCCGATCGTCGTCCCAGCTCGCCGATCGTCGTCGCAGCTCGTCCGCCTCCGCCGATCGTCGTCCCAGCTCTGCCTTCTTCTATTCTTTTTTCTTCTTCTCTTCTTTCTTTCTTCTTCTTTCTTCGTCTTCTTCTATATTTCTAATTGAAAAAAAAAAAAAAATTCAAACGACGAAATGACGTCGTTTCGCCAATTAGGAGGATTCGAGGGGGGCTGAATTCGAGCTCTCTAATACGGTCCTAATTTTTTAATATGTTTTATCTTTTATTAGGTTAAATTAATCCCAACCATATTACTAAACGGGGCATAAAATCTCATTACTTTTAGCCTTGGGTTGTTTTGAGAAGTTGGTTAAAAATTGAGTTTTTCACCTTTTTTTTCTTTTTCTTTTTTTTTTGAAAAAATTTGTAAAAACTTAGAAAAACAAAATATGACCCAAAATAAGTAAAGTTGACTTTAGACTTTTAGCTAAATTTATAAATTGAGAGAAAGAACAAAGTAGATGATGGGAATGGGACCCAAAAAGGTTAGAGTGATGTATAAGGAGATTGGAATTTTATTAATTTTTTTTTGCGAATTTTTTTTTTTTTGATCGATAATTTTAGACAAAGATAAAATTGTAATAAAAAAAGAGTTAAAAATAAAAAGAAATTCTAATATACATCACTTTAAAAATGGTACACCATATGAACCCTAGTTATATTTTTTTTTATTTAGTTATGTCATTATTTTAGTTATGACTCATAAGTTATTTATTTATATCTCATGTTGTGTTTAGTTATGACATTTGTTTTAATTATGACTTAAAAAATTAAAATTATACCATTTATTTTTAATTATAAAGTGAGAATCAGGATCCTCTCCTTACTCTCTCGCCGTACCTCCTTACTTGCTGGACTATTGAGCCTCCTTTTGAACCCAATTTTGATGGTCCTTGTTCATAAAATGCATGTGACGCACACTAAGGCTAAGTTTGGCTACTACAAAATAATTCATCTTTTTATCTTTTTATTTTTTTTTCTATCATATCACCTCTCTACTTTTCTGCACATCTTTTCGTAAAAAGACAAAAAATACACTTATTTAGATCATTCCAAACAACTCCTAAATTTTTCAAAAATAGAAGCCTAGGTTGTTACTTTTGTTGGGTACAAAGAACTGAAATGGTAACTACATTCGTGTGCTACTCGGGTGCACCCCTTCCATATGAGGACTACCCTGTTATCCTGCCACGTTATCTTCGAACTTGCAATCTTATCCGTAGCGAATTAAAAGTCAACGAATCACAGACAAGTAAAGCAGGGATTATTTTGTAATTTCGTTTATTTGCTCATAAGTACCAGACCACACGTATAATTCCTTGAGGATCAGCTTTGTCTCCAGCCAATGGCTTCCACAAGCTTGAACTTCCTCCAGCTCCAGACTCTCTCGCTCCGCCATGTGCACAATGCGCCACCTACCTCCTGCAAGGCGCACTCTCCTAAACCTGCGCCGCCCTCCCGCACCACCGCGCTACCAGGCCGGAGACAGTGGCTCCTCCTGCTGACGGCGGGGACGACGTTGAAGGCGGCGGAGTTGCCGTCGAGGGCGCAGGACATTCCGCTATTCGGACTGAGGAAGAAGCTGAAGAAGGTGGAGGAAGAGGCGGAGGAGGTAATCAAGGAAGGGATCGAGACGGCGGAGAAGGGATTTGAGACGGCGGAGAAGGGAATTGAAACGGTGGAGACCGAGATAGAATCGGCGTTGAGGTTCGGGGGGTTGGCGCAGGCAGGGGCGGTGGCGGGAGCGGAGTTTGTGGGGATTTTGGTAGCTACTTCTGTGGTGAATGGTATTTTAGGACCCGAAGGTCAGAAATCGTGAAGTGTGATTGGTTTTTATCTAAATTTTTGTTCTCAATTGATATGTTTATGTAAACCTGGTTGTAAAATTGTAATAATCACCGTAGCGTTGTGAATTTGTGTTGTTGTTGATTGAAGAATTTGATGTTTGTGCTGGAATGTAATATGATTAGGTGTGAGGGATAAAAAAGAAAAAGAAAAGGAAAAAGGATTGGATGGCAATATTGAATGTAATTTAGGAGTTGTTAATTATCATTCACCTCCTAATACAATGTTAATTTTGTCATTCACCTCCAAATACAATGGCACTGTTTGGTATAGATTTTAAGAATTGATTAAAATTTATTTTAATTTAGGAGTTTATATTAAACTGTTTAGCGTAGTTTTTAGTTATAAGTTATTAAGTAGGAATAATTTAAATAAATTTAAAAAATTAATTATTTAAAAATTGAGTTCATATGATGCATAACAAATTCATAATAAAGAATACATGCATATTGCAAGTGACTCTAATATATATCATCTATAATTGACTTTTTGTCCCGGAAAATATTAAATTAATCAGGTATTTTAGCATTAAGAAAATCTAATAGTAAAATGAATTTAGACCTTTTAACAAATGTTTGAATTAGTTTTTTTTTTTAAATTAAATCATACAAAGATCAAAGAAGCATATATCTATTTTTTTTTTATTATTTTTTTTTATTTTATAGTTTATTATGTAATAAAATAATATAAACTTAGAGGTCCAGAGTAGTCTCTCTCTCTAAGAGATTTCCAACAATGTTCCGGCGATTGTTCACTGACATTTTTAGTGACTTATTTTACACTTTTAAAGTATAGATCTACACTTCTAAAGTATAGATTTACAATTTTAGAGTGTAGATCTAGACTTTTTATATTTGAAATAGAAGTTTTGATCAGAGAGTCTTCTCCTCCTATTTTGGCATAAATTTTTGGATTTTCAACACTCGCAATGGTTCCCTTATCTCTCAACCATTTTTTCATTCCATTGTTGGTGTCCTTCCTTCTTCAGCGGTAGTGGTGGCGGAGTTGAGCAGCAACGACAGAGATGACGTCATTTCATTCCATTGTTGGTGTCCTTCCTTCTTCAGCGGTAGTGGTGGCGGAGTTGAGCAGCAACGACAGAGATGACGTCAACAGGGACGACGGTCTTTCAAGCAGATCTTGCTTTTTAGACCACCTCTTTGAGCAAATCGGTAGTTTTTCTTGAATCGTAGCTTTTTTTTTGGTGGATTTCTTTTTTTGTTGTTTGTTCGTTGTTTGTTTGTTCTTTATTTTGTTGTTTGGTTGGGATGGCCCTTTGAAGTCTTGATTATGTATTGTTATTGTCTTTTATTAATATTGAGATGGCCCTTTTATTAATATAATATTTTCCATATTCTCGAAAATAATAATAATATGAACTTGTAAATGAATATTTCATAAACAGCTGAACGAGAGCCAATATTTGGCTATTCAGTTTTGCAATTTCTTATTGAAAGTTCAATAAATAAAAAAAAAGGTTAAACGAACTTAAATCACAATCTAATCTTGTCCAATGAAATAGAAAATAGGGAAAATTACTATTCATGATAGATTTTGAAAAATTATTACACATTAATAAAAAAAAATTGTGATTTTAATTATTAATTTTTATAATATTTATGTAACGCCCTCAAAAATAAACTCATTATAGCATACATTCACGATAAATAAAAGAGTTTTCATATTATAATCATCACAGTATTCTAACAAAAGGTATTACATGTTGACAATAAAAGTAAACGCCCTATAGACTTACAACTTTCCAAGTCAACATTTGGTTACAAAAAAGGAGAGTACTAACTCTACACAAATAAGCCATTGGCTTGATATACATGTAATACAACAAAAACAATAAAAAAGAGTCTACAGCCTCAAGCCACCCAAGCTACGTCCTTGGAGGTGGCATAACATCTGTACCTGAAAATGATGTCCCATATAGGGTGAGCTAACGCCCAGTAGAGATATGCTAAACATAATATGAGCAATAACAAAAACATTAGCACTTGATAAATGTTTAACTCATATAAACCAACATACAGTACAATCCAGTTCTATAATCCTTAACTTAACAAAACTCAACTTATAAACATGGCTCAGAACCTAGTTAAATAACTGAAGTGAGACTACATCTCATGCCAACAATACTACGAGCTGCCATTTTATGGAAATTGCGTCCGCGGGATTCGGCACCCATGTATTTTCATTCTCTTATGGCCATTTTACGGATATTTCATCCGCGGGATTCGGCACCCATGTATAGATATATTCGGATTGCCATTTTACGGAAATTGCGTCCGCGGGATTTGGCACCCATGTATTATTATATTCAAATGGCCATTTTACGAAAATTTCATCCGCGGGATTCGACACCCATGTATTCAAATACACAACTTGATTAGTTTCAATTCACCTAATCATCATGCAATGTCTACAACAATCAAGACTATCCTCCACTGATAGCCCAAAGTAGTTATTTCTAAACAGATAATAAATGCCTCAACAGATATATAATTGACATTTTCAAAAGTGAGCGATTTATAAATCCAATACCACCATTCTATCTCATAATGAGCAAATTTCATTATCCCCAACTCCATTTCATAACAAATGTCATTAATTACACTAATGACCCAAATATACCCAAAATATGGCGCATTTCCCTTTAAGCTCAATATTGACCCAAAGGTCCAAATATTATCAACAACACCAATATTCTCATCTCTAGGCTCAAATATACATATATAGGCTCAAAATACAAAACCCCTCTTTTATACATTTTGAAACCCTAACAACCAAAATCACCCAACTCAACATTATATCAAAAAGACCAATAGTTTATGTCAAAGACCATAGGAATAAGTAGTTATCCCTACCTCGAGATGAAGAGCTCAAATGGAGGAGATGACCAAAATCCAAAGTGCTCCAAATCCAAGATTTTCAGATTAAAAGGAAGTCCTGAACACCCTCGATCTTTCTTACAAAGAGCCTAGGTTAGAAACTCACTAGAAGTAGATCAATCCCTAGAGAGAAGTTGTTTAGAGGGATAGAGAGCTCAGATCTAGGGTTTTTGAAAAAGAAAGAGATGAAAAAGTGAAGTGTAATCCCGCTGCTGTCTACTGATATACGTATGACCCGCTCGAGCGGAGAATAGGACGCTCGAGCGTCAGACACAAAAACTGGACACGCTCGAGCGCAAAGGTGCCCGCTCGAACGCCAAGACACAACTGCAAAACACACCCGCTCGAGCGCAAAGGGAAAGCCACTCGAGCATAGATTTCCCCCTTCCAGTACTTTTATAGACAATGAACTACCCGCTTGAGCGCCAAGATACCCGCTCGAGCGCTACCTGCTCGAGCGTAAGGAAAATCGCTCGAGCGTGAAAAACGCACTTGCAGAAGTTTTGCAGAGGCACAAAATGCTGAGAGTGTGTAAACTCCGCTTGAGCGTAAAGGGACCCGCTCGAGCGGACCACGAAAAATCTGGGCAGCTAGGAATGGGACTTAAGCTCAACCAATCTGTTCGAAACATGCCCAATACATCCTAAAACTCAAACACACGGAATCAAAGGACAACAACAAGATATACAACCACCAACTCCACGGAACCTAAGTTCAGGAGCGTGAAAAACGCACTTGCAGAAGTTTTGCAGAGGCACAAAATGCTGAGAGTGTGTAAACTCCGCTTGAGCGTAAAGGGACCCGCTCGAGCGGACCACGAAAAATCTGGGCAGCTAGGAATGGGACTTAAGCTCAACCAATCTGTTCGAAACACGCCCAATACATCCTAAAACTCAAACACACGGAATCAAAGGATAACAACAAGATATACAACCACCAACTCCACGGAACCTAAGTTCAGAATACAGCAATCAAAGGAAGAGAAACCGGAATCACTATAATTTATCACTTTTTTTTTTGTAAATTTTGTTCCTAACACCACTTAGGTGTAATTCCCCCCTCCCAAAATCCCCCCCAAAAAAAAAATATATATATATATATATATGTATATATACCATGTCCAAAAACAATCTGACTGGAATGGGCAGGGTTTGTTGGGTGAAAACACAGAACACGAAAAAAAAGGAAGAGAAATTTATTAGAAAAGAAAAGAAAAAAGAAAAAGAAAAAACAGGCATGAAAATATTTAGTTTGATTTTGGAGGTTTTAGTCCGTATTTTTTAGTGAATTTTTTAATATTTTATATTTATTTTAGATGTATCTAATCTATATATGCAAGAAAAATGATCTTTTTAAGAATAATGATTGTGGAAGATTCAAACTCCCAAACTCATTTTGTTAATTTTTTTTTTAAAAAAAAATTATCGGTTAGTTCCTTAAGTCAAAAATCCATAAACAAAAAAAGTTCTAATTATCTACAATTTTAAATTTTAATATTCAAAACAATATGATAAGTCACCCTCATTCTTTCTAAAAATAATGTCGATCTATACGATTCAAATAAAAAAAAATAAAGACACTAATTATCTATGATTTTGAATTTCAAAATTCAAAATAATATGGTAAGCCACCTTTAACCCACTCTCACCTTATTCGAAAATAATATAAATCTAAAATTTTAAAAACTCAATCAAATTAAAAATTCAATACAATTCTCTCTTTAAAATACTCAATATTTGATCTTTTTTCCAACCCGGCCAACTTTTTTTAAAGAAAATAGTTATTGAATTGATTGAGATTAATTTATTGAGTTGAATCTTTGCAATAAAACAGGATGATTTTTGAATTTTCAACATATTTTTGTCATACTAGGACTCCTCCCTCTTTTCTTTTTATTTTTTTATTTTCTCCCATTTTTATTTTTCACTCTATTTGTTTTTTTTTTCTCCTTTTTGTTCACTTATTTTTATTCACACTATACATTCAGGTACGGGCATACACTAGTATATACCTAAATCATAACAAATTATTTGGTCAATACTTAAAAAAAGAACAAAAAATATTTTTTGAAAAAATAAAAATAAACAAAATATTTTTTCAAAAAAATATAAAATAAAAATAATTTTAAACGACAAAATTAAATATTTTTTTTTGAATTTTTTTTAATAGAATTTTGAAAAGAGTTCGATTATAAGCTTTGAGTTTGTGTTTGGTTATGAATTTTAAAAATAGCTTTTGAATTGAATTTTGAGATATGTTTTTATTGTGATTTTTAAAAATAACTTTTGAATTGAGTTTAGAATTATGTGTTTGGATACGATTTGAGTTTAAAATATTAAAAAATTAAAATATT